CCATTATGTTCCAGCAAATGCTATGCCTTCGCATATCCACCGCCTAGCCCCTAGGACACCTGATTACTGTGTCCTCCCAAGAGGAGATTAACTGTTTGCATTTCAACAGGTCCCAGTCACAGCGTGTGAGACACTCCTCAGAGGGAGCCTTATCGGCCTCGGTCATACCGGGGCACCCCCTCAGAGAGAATTCAGCTTTCCGGTCATACCGGGGCTTCTCTCTTATCTAATGGGAAAAGAGGCTAAATGCGGGGGGGCATGTTAATAGAAATTGGCTTCAAGCAACACCCCAGCACTGTTCCTATCCCCCAATTCCCCAATAAAAATATTTTAAAAAAAAATAAAAGAACTGGTGGCTTGGAGAAAGGAGGTTATGGTGGAGATGAAGAGATAGCATCATGTATCTGTAGGTGCCACACCAACCATGAAGTGTTTGGGTCCATACAAACTCTTCCTGGTATGACAAGGTCAAAATGGTTGGTAGATTTGGTCAATTCCAGCAAAAAGGGGTACATGTGTTGCATATCGAGCTCAAAAGCACACTTCATGGATTACTGGTTCCAGATGTTATTTTAGTAATACCAGGGGTGCTAAAAAATGTTTACAAGTGGACACTTTGGTCAGCGTTGCTCAAGCAGTAGTTCGCCATAATCAGAAGTGTCTGGACGCTGATGGCAACCACTTTGAGCACCTCTTGTAACTGCAGAAGTCAAACATGACTTGTATTCATCTTTTGTTATCAGTATATATTGAGTATTACAATTATAATACAGTATTCTTAAAACATGTATACATTTTTTGGCACCCTCTGTATATTCAAGGAGTATTGTTCTGTGGCCAAATAAGTGCGATGAACATGCCCAATAGGTTCTCATCTAGAGACTCACTGTACACAGTAGCATATTGAAAATTCTGAGGCATCTAGAAGTAAAGCAATACCTTTTACTTACTTTCCCACACTTCCTAAAATCCTTTGATCAAGAAACCCTGTTTTTTTCTTTTTTGCCTTCCTCACAGAACACTCGCTAGTAAGGTATGAACATACATGGATACAGCGGCAAGAGAACTGGAATGAGAGACCATATACCCTACTGCCATCACTGTACTGTCGGACACGTCACGTTTCCTGTTTTCCAACATCTATAAAATAGGAGGTGAGAATATATTGGTCACCATATTCTCTTTTATCAAGTTGCTTTACATAAAGCTGTTTTCTGTGTAAATCCTCAGAGGGTAGTTGCTTTGGATGATGCTGCCAACTCAGTTTAAATGAGGGTTCGTAGATACTGTAGATACTGCTTTTGAGATGCTCATGCCCCTGTCTGTGTGAGCATTTTTTATCATCTGTACTTGCAAAGAAAGCATTTAATAACTGGATCAGAATTGCTGCTGGCCCAGGGTCTGAGTCTCCTAGGAGAAGTTACAACGCTGTGAAGGTGGGTCCAAGACCTATTGGATTTCAAGTACAGCTGATGTACTCACTTAGATGTTACTAGGCAACTGTGCAAGGTGGGACAGAATGGATTTTGATACCCAGATTGTGTCTTGTAAGCCCGTTTGCTTCAAATATCAAGGGCTAAATTTCTTAGCAAAAAGCATTGATTGTTAAAATATTCTCTTCTTCAAAAAATGTCCTGCACTCTAGAAACAATGAAAATACAAGCCGTGTTTCTACATGCTGAAGGCTGCATTAGTTCTATTTGCCGAAAAACCCTCCGTCCCTCCCTTCCTTACTTTCTCATTTTGAGAATAGGCCATCAGTCTTTCAATTTCTCAGGGCCTTGAACATTCCTTAGCTATGTCTTTGGGAACCATGAACAAACCTAAAGAATAGGCACAACAAAAAGAATATCAGGAGGCTGGGAAAGGCAGTGGGGTTAAAAAGCCATGGAAGCGTGAAGGTAGGAGAGAAGATGAGAATGAGGACGGAGGAGAGAACCAGTGATGGAGAAGCACGCTCAATTTGGACAAGGGAAGATGGAAAGAGGAAGCATTTCAAATGAATGTTAACTCTTTCAGTTTAAAGAGGCATACGATTGGGGTCTTTTGGGGTCTCTCTCCTTTCTTTGTTGTTTACTATGGTAGCAATAGAAGAAAATATATTAAACAGTCTATCCCCTACTACACAACGTTTTCTTTGGTGGCTCAGTGTCTGAGCTTTTTCTCAGGTCCCAGTAATCCGTTTTGGAAAAGGAGATACATGTGGCACGGGAAGCAGAGGAGGATCAAGAATGAATTGGAGAAGGAAACCCCATCAGGGAGAGAAGAAACTAATATGTTGGCAATGCAAGGAAAGGGGGCAAAAGGATAGAGTGTCTGTCATGAGGGGCCTTAGTTTGGGTGAGAGTTTTCGTGAGGCCGAGAGTGAATTGGGGCAGAAGAGAGGCTTCAGGGCAGGTGTGGGGTTTAAGAAAAATGGTGAGTGTGAAGGTGGGAAAGAAAATTTTAAGGAATGTTTCTCTGCATTGTGAATTGGAGCTCCTTGTAATAGAATGTTACTGAAGAATCCCAGCAGAGACTGCCGTCACCTGTAATTGCTTCTGATAGCTGTTTACCGAGTGAGAGCAAAGGCTGGGTAACCTGAAGAGGTTTTTGTTAAGATTACTCAGGATGGAAAGGAGTGGAAAAGTTCAGAGAGGTAAACGGGAGGAGTACATACACAGCAGCAAGAGCCTAGTAAAGGAGCTGTGAAATGTTTCCTAGTTTCAACAAAGACTCGACATTCTAAGCAAGGAAATTTAAATTAGATCCAAGTGCTCTTCCTGGTTGTAGAAGTTGTACTATGAAATGTTTTTGATATTCATATAACTTGACAAATCTGATTCCTGGCATTTTTAACAAAATGTTGACTGTGCCATTTATCTGGCTGACTGTGAGAACACATCTTCTGTGAGAGAAGAATACATTGAGCAGACTTCCTGGCCTTAGCATTTGTGATTTAATGATTCAGGACCTTGGAAACGAATTTACAAATACTCAATGCCAATTGTCCACCCTATCCCAACACACTATTTTCACTGGCTTCGCTCTCCTGAGATTTCTTTTCCATCAGTGTTCTTCACACTGCTTCCTGTCTCACTTCCTGGGCTGCATTCAAAGACCGGACATAATAAAATCGCCATCCTATTTTCATTTCTGTAAATGACCACCGGGGCTCTGCAGTGCCAGCCGTAATCACCCCAGAACTCTGGGAGTGGTGGGGGGCGGTTCCATGTACCATTTGACTGATGGAAATTCAGTATTGGTCTAAGAAAAGTATCAGCACACGGAATTGTTTCACAGTTGTGTTTTCAGAGGCCATTGAGCGTGCAAGGTACTGTTTGGCAAAAGGATTCCTCAGTCCAATCAGCTTGCACACTTTCAGCAAAGCTGGTATAAAATAAAAGACGGTGGGCTAAGCGTGGAGGGACTTGCCCTCTAGTCCCAGACGTTCACTTAACACTCTGTGTTACCTCGGCAAGCCTCTGAAACTCTGCAAAATGGAGGTCCTCCTAGTTGTCTTCTCTGCATCATAGGGTTGTAGCCTGTCGCTTGGTTGTAGTCTATAAAGTCGTGGCTCTGTGGTCAGAGAGCCTCTATTGGAATTCTGGCTTTACATCCTAAAGCTGTGTGATTAGGTCAAGTTACTAAGCTTTTCTGAGCTTTAGTTTCCCTTTAGGGGTGAATAATATATTTATCTCATGGGGTTTTTAGGCTTAGATGAGATAGCTGATGTACAACAAATAACTATCATCGTGGCACTATTTAAATAATTATTAGTCCAGTCATAACTAATAGTAATATTATAATTAGCAACAACAATGATTATAATTATTAAGCTTATTTTTTAAAAACCAGTGGTAATAGTAGCAGTAACAACAGCAGTAACTACTGTTTATTGAGCACTTATTTTTTTCCAGACACTATTCCAAGAGCTCTACTTACATTATTTTATTTAATTCTCATGACCCCCCTATAAGTTAGGTAGCTAATTATCCCATTTTACAGAAAAGATGCTGTAGTTCATAGAGGGTAAAGCTGCTCAAGCTCTCGCAGTCAGTAAGTGGCAGAGTGGACGTGCTCCTGAGCTGTCCAGTGCCAGAGGCTTTCTCTTCAAGTTCAATGTCCTTTTCACCTGCCCCTTGATGCCGTCTGCCTCTCGGTCCTCCAGACTATGTAAGGGCTCTAAAGGGAGAATGGTTGGTAATTCTTTTCAGAGTCCACCAGCAAGTCACTATGAATGGAAATTAAAGAAGTACAGACAGGGTAAGAAACACTAGTGCAGCGGTTCTCAACCTTCCTAATGCTGCGACCCCTTAATACAGTTCCTCAAGTTGTGGTGACCCCCAACCATAAATTATTTTCGTTGCTACTCTATAACTGTAATTTTGCTACTGTTATGAATCGTCATGTAAATATCTTTTTGTTTTCCGATGGTCTTAGGTGACCCCTGTGAAAGGGTCGTTCGATCCCCAAAGGGGTCGCGACCCACAGGTTGAGAACCGCTGCACTAGAGGAACTTAGATTTCCCTACTGATTTTTTTCTTGTCTTTCTCAATGGCAATTTTTATTTAAATGTTCATCGTAATTGAAAGGATAGTACCCTATCTTGAAGAGAAAGGGAGAATTTGTGTAAGTACTGATTATTGATTTTAAAAATAGAGAGTGGAGGCACTGGGTCCTCAGAGGGGTTATTGCATTGTGAAGTCCGTGAAGGCTGAGCCCTGTGTGTTGGACAGATAACATAGTACATGCCCTGGAAATTGTGAAAAGGGGTCTTGGAGGAAAAATGGACAAGATCGCCATCTAGTGGACTTCGAGTCAACTTCAGCTCAGAAACAAAAACAAGCAGTGTTTTGGTAAAACCGGTTTAAAACGGTAAGTAACACTAATGGGTAACTTATTTAAATACACAATGGAGAAATAGAAACCAGGTCAGACCAGTACTCAAGCTGAATTCTGAGTTGGCCGATAGCAGGAGACTAGGGGCATCGTAGAGGTTCAGATGTGTAGGATGTGAGTGCTACAGAGAAGCTGAGATGAACACCTCCCACCTCCTCCTCTACAGCCCAGGGAAGGACAGCAACTCATGGAGGGGCACGTGGGTGTGATAACTTGTACCCAGGCCTCCTAAGTTCACGTCCAGGGCTCAGACTTTTGTGTCGTGTATAGAGCAGCCATTGTCCTTGATAACACTTAAGACAAGGGAAGGCATTCATCCCCAAGTGTATAAGTTCTCCCAGTTAACCACTATGGATTGAGTCACAAAAGCAGATGGACGTCCTAAGTGGTCCGTTTCTCCGGCGCTTTTGGAAATGCCTCTGTGCACACCATGGAAGCGCTGTTTACACTGTGGCACTGAAACATACCAGCGTCTTCCCGAGGGGCCAGAGGCATCTCTCTGCATCTGCTGTTTGGGGATTTGCTCAGTACCCACGTCTGAAGAGTATATTATGGGCCTCCGTATGATTTTGTTGACTTGTACTCTATCCCCATTTTGTTAACGCTTCCCCTTGTGCCCATGGTTTTCATATAGAAATTGAGAGGAGAGGGGAATGACGAAAGGAGCTTTACCCTATGTGAAGTCAGTTTAGAGATTTAAGATACAGAGAACTAGTGTAACCCCTCTTCTGAGTCATGGCTGTGCTCCTCTCTGGTTCTGTTATCTGGAATTGATTTTTTTGTTTCTTCATTTCTGGAATACAGATGGTGATAATGTGCCTTGCAACTCAGAGTCCTCGCGAGGTTTAAGAGATGCAGGTTCCAAACATGTCTCTTTCTCCCCCTCTCTCCTCCTCCCTCTCTGTGGAAAGTTCTCATTTTTAAAATTCAGTTTTCCGGGGCCGGCCGAGTGGCTCAGTTGGTTAAGAGCTTGCTCAAGAGTTTGAGCTCTGAGCAACAGCAGTTCAATGCCTGGCCCGAACTGAGCAGCCACTGAGCTGCCAACAGGTGGCAGGATGGCTCAGCTTTAAATAAATAAATAAATAAATAAATAAATAAATAAAAATAATAAAATTCAGTTTTCCTTAAATTCTAAACCTGCAGAAAAGTTGACATAACAGTTCACTCCATACCCAAGTACCCTTTTCCTAGGTTTACCAGCTGTTAATATTTGAAGGTTACATACTTTGTACATTTTTAAATTCTTTTGCACACATCACTTGCAAATAAGTTC